AATGCATTATATTTTAAAGTATCACCACTAGAGGGCACTATATTTTGAAAAATTGCCACTAGAGGGCGCTGTATTTTGTATTTCTGTATATCACCTCACACCACATAATTCAATGAATTATTAAGTCAATATAGACTACTCAAAATGGATCACTTCATTCAGTTTATAAGGGTGAAACTTCGTCCCTTCATTGGACGTCCCAAATCTCTGCCAGTAGAGGGGGTATTTTCTGGTCCTGTAGCTTGAGCGCAAACAGCATTTCTGAATGACTGTTGTTGAGACTCCTTAATTCTGTAAGCTTCATGAGTACTTTGGGAAGGACCAGTGCATCATTGGGTCGTCTCATCTTCAATCTAGTGCGTAACATCTCAAGATACTTTTCTTGAATCTTTTCTACACTTTCACGATCAGTAAGCTGAGCTCGATCTGGAAGTGAGTTAAGACACTATCAACAATCTATTAAGATCTTAAGGTTTAACAGTCTACTCATAATTTTTGAGAAAATTGGTCATAAATAGGGGATTTTCCGTACAATTGCGAGATCTCGCGAGATGTATGAAAAACGCGCGTCGAACGTCTGCTGTAAAAATCGAACGATTTGATTTTCAACTCTAATTTCTTTATTTCGTAGCTCACATCGACCGGCCGATCTTCGACAGAGGAATATTGCTTCCGAATACCCTTACTTAATCAAAATTGCCTATCATCAAATGTGGACAGCACATTATTAAGCATGGAAATGTCCCCCCAAATACTTTCGCGTTTGTCGAATCCCACGTGATGTTTGACGCCACTACGACGCTGTGACCTTTGTTTGTCCTGTTTTTACGTTCGATTTCACGCATAACGCGTGATTCTCGCAGTGAACGGAAAATGGTCTATTGCACGACAATGTTCATTGGTTTATTACCAGGTATGCACAGTCATGAAACTAATGTCTCATGGCACCATGAAATAGCATTCTTTCGGGTGTTACAGTGACATATTTCGGAAAACTTGTTCTAACATTTTTATTTTTAGAATAATTCCATTGAGCATTGTTTGCCACTTTTTAAAACCTAGATTTATGAACTAATAGAACAACAATATATATACATGTACATTGTATATATAATTTTTTTCACCCTACAGTATGTCACCATCCTACAATTTGAGATATGGCATATCTCTGCCATCGGAACCTATGGTAACAGTATTATAATACAAATGTACTGCCAAAATGGCCATTAATCACTAAAATACAACCTTTTTTTAAACTAACATCCTTATATTGTGTAATTTATTGGATAATGAATAAATTATAGATATTTGATATTATGAGTAGGCTTCTGCCTTAAAGGCTTTTTATCATACAATTCATTAAAGATGAATGAATTTGTGCAGCCAGTCTTTTCACTTGTGTGATGGTAGAATTCACAGATCAAATTTAAACAACAACAGTGACTTCTTTTTTGTTTTTTGTGAGAGGCAGAAACAGATTTTAAACCAATACATGCTAGGATTTATGGTTGACCTAAACTAGAAATAAAATCAATCTTAAAATAAAGTAACTAATTATATTCACAGATTATACAAAATCTAAACACTAGTATCTACGTAGGTTCCATGCAATGAATAAAAGGCATACACAATACATTGTTAGTTCACACTATCCTAATAGATGCTGCCAGACGACTTTGTTTTTTTAATTACTTACCAGCAGAAAAAATGACAATAGCCATGAGTACAGTGAAATCACCGTAATCTAAATCCAGATCAACCATACCCCTTGAAAACTCATACATTGGATCCACAATATCGCCAATACCACCATCGCACAATGTGTCTCTAGAGTAAGGTAAGCCATTGCCGAACACTATGGCATCGTCTTCTTTGATGTACCTCATGGCTGCACGCAACAATAAAACTTCTATTGCTGAACCCTACACACACAAAAAAAAAAAAACAGGCATAGTTATTAGGTATACTTTCTTTACTGCTTAATCCTCAATATATTCAAAACTTTTCTGCACTTTTTTTCTTCTAGTTTTCAATATTTCAAGAAATGAACCCTAATTCTGGAGCCAACAGACAAAATTGATGTCAACTTTCAGATTTTACTCACAAAATTTGGGTATTTTTGTCCTAATCTTCTGAGTGCAGACTATAAACAGGACTATTTTGTGAATTTGTGATAAATATAGAAAACTGGTGGTGAAAAGGTTAAGACACACAAATGGTGGAAAGGTTAAAGAACACACAAACGGTGAGGTACATGACCGTAATGTGTACTACTTACTTTCAGCAATACAATTTGATCTTCTCGATTAAGATCAATAAATCCTGGCAACCGTTTACTGAATTCCACAACAAGCTGCACAGTAAGAATGGTGAGTTCTGTAATATGCGCAAATCTCATGTGGAGTTTCTCCCCTTCTGTCAGTTGTGACTGCTCTTCAGGCCACGGCTGTCAACAAAATGGTGTACATCATTAAAACTGATAAATTTATTGCATCAGTCAAAATGGTCTATGAGGATGGATTTGATTTTGTATTTGATCTCTATTGATAGTTCATTAGCAAAAATAAGATCGCCTTTGTTCTAGGTGCATTATATATAGTCAGAATGGAGGTTTAGGTCATTGAATAATCTCCACAGTGAATGCATTCAAATGACTAAAATTTGGAACATTTCTAGCAACTGAACTTGCATACATGTACCTAGTATTGCCTGACCTCATAAGGCTATGGGAATTGCGCCTTCACAACAGGGCAATAATTTCCTGAAGTGTGACCTCACAACAGGGCAATAATTTCCTGAATTAATAACTTACAGTGACTTTACGCATGTCATCAGGTCCAGGAATTTCCAACTCTCTTTGAGCTTGGGTAATTTTAACAATGATTTCTTTTTGCTCATCAGTAAGATCTATCGCTGGTTCTGATTGGGACGATGGATTATTTTCAAAACTGTTACTTCCTTCATTACTTGGCTGTGGCTGTGGTTTGGTGAGCTGTTGTTTCACCATTTTTCTTTGCCTTTTAGATTTACACTGCTCTTCTGTTAGAAGACCTGTTGGTATAACAATTAGTTTGCAAATGTTAGAGCACTTGAAATATGGGTCTTTTGGTGGAGCATTCAGTGTTGTTACTTAATACATGCCTCTCACTCAGAACAGGGGAAAAAAAGATTTTTCTATACCCCTCCCCACCGTAGTTGGCAGCCTATTTTAAATTTTGTTATTGAGTCTGGGTACAATGCATCACAGAATGTTCTATGTTGAAAAGATGGACCATGCTACATGTATATGGAAGCTGTTGTGGAACGCCGGTCGAAGAGCCAGTGAAAACAGCACAAACTCAAATATGAGATGATCCTGAACAACAGAATTTAATATACTGTTGCACATATACATTTTGTAGGGGTAATCTTATTACACTCTCCAGGAGAGTCACAGCAACTATCCCAAAGTACAGTTTTTTGAGTATTCTGTTGTTGCACA